AGTGCCTGTTCCATTTGTTTTATTGTGGTAAAATACACGTAAGACAAATGTCACCATTTTAAGTTTTTTTGGTCTGTTTTTGTTTTTGGAGAGACAGAGACAGTGCGAGTGAGAGAGACAATCCCAAGCAGGCTCTGTGCCGCCAGCACAGAGACCAATGCAGGGCTTGAACTCATGAAACGGTGAGTTCATAACCCAAGCCGAATCCAAGGGTCAGATGCTTAACCCACTGAGCCACCCAGGTGCCCCACATCTCAGCATTTTAAAGTGTGCAGTTTAGTGGTGTTTAGTCTCCTTGAAGTGTTGTACACCATCACTACTACCTAGTTCCAGACCATTTTTATCACACCCACAGGACACGCACATACCTTTTAAGTAGTCACTCTGCATTCGGCCCTCCCCAGCCCTCGGCGACCACCAATCTGCTTTCCGTCTATAGACTGGCCTAGTCTATATATTTTATAGAAATGAAACTGTACAAGGGCTCCTGGGTGGCCCAGTTGGTTTAGTGTCTGACTCTTGATTTTGGCTCAGGTCGTGATCTCACATTTGTGGGTTCGAGCCCTGTGTCTGGCTCTGCGCTGTGTGGAGCCTGCTTGGGATTCTCTCTCTCCATCTCTCTCTGCCCCTCCCCTATTCTTTCTCTTTCTCAAAATAAATAAATAAACTTGAAAAAAGAGAGAGAAATAAAAGTTTACACTAGGTGGACTTTTATATCTGGCTTCTTAGCTTAATGTTTCAAGATTCATCCATGTTGTTGCATGTATTGGTATTTGATTTCTTTTTTAATGTTTATTTTTCTTTGAGAGAGAGAGTGTGTTTGTGAACAAGCTGGGGGGGGGGATAGAGAGAGACAGAGAGAGAATCCTAAGCAGGCTCTATACTGTCAGCACAGAGCCCAGCACAGGTCTTGATCCCACCAACCGTGAGATTATGACCTGAGCCGAGATCAAGAGTCTGATGCTTAACCAACTGAGCCATCCAGGAACTCTATTATTTCATTTCTTTTTGTGGCTGAATAATTTTCCATTGTGTGGACCATTGTTTGTCTATAAATTTATCAGTTGATGGACATATATGTCCTCAGTTGATGGGTTTCCACTCTTTGCTGTTGTGAATAGTGCTTCTATGAGCATTTGTGTACACATTTTTGTTTAACAGTTTAACAGTTATTTTTATCAGCAAAACTAAAAAGCAACTGATGGAATGGGAGAAGATATTTGCAAATGACATATCAGATAAAGGGTTAGTATCCAAAATCTATAAAGAACTTATCAAACTCAACACCCAAAAAACAAGTAACCCAGAGAAGGAATGGACAAAAGACATGAATAGACACTTTGCCAAAGAAGACATCCAGATGACTAACAGATGCATGAAAAGATGCTCAACTTCACTAATCATCAGAGAAATACAAATGAAGATCAAATGAAATACAAATGAAAATGAAAATGTTGGTGAGGAAGCAGAGAAAGAGGAACACTGTTGTGCCGCTAGTGGGAATGCAAGTTGGTTCAGCAGCTCTCGAACACAGTATGGAGGTTCCTCAAAAAATTAAAAATAGAACTACCCTATGACCCAGCAATTGCACTTTAGGTATTTATCCAAAGGAAACAGGTGGGTTGTTTTGAAGGAGCACATGCAGTCCAATGTTTATAGCAGCACTATTGACAATAACCAAAGTATGGAAAGAGCTCAAATGTCCATCTTTTGATGGATCTTTTTTGATCCATCTTTTATAAATGGATAAAGATGTAGTGTGTGTATATACACACTATATATATATATATATACACACACACTACATCTTTATATATATATAGGAATATTACTTAGCAATCAAAAAGAATGAAATCTTACCATTTGCAACAATGTGGATAGAATCAGAATGTATTAGTCAGTCAGAGAAAGACAAATATCATATGACTTTACTCGTATGTAGAATTTAAGATAGAAAACAGATCAACATAAGGGATGGGAAGCAAAAATAATATAAAAACAGGGAGGGTGACAAAACATTAGAGACTCTTAAGTACAGAGAACAAACTGAGGGTTGCTGGAGGGGTTTTGGATGGGAGGATGGGCTAAGTGAGCAAGGGGCATTAATAGGGACACTTGATGGAATGAACATTGGCTGTAATATGTAGGGGATGAATCACTGGATTCTATTCTTGAAAACATTATTGCATTATATGCTAACTAACTTGGATGTAAATTAAAATAATAAATAAAAAACAGTTGTTTTTAGTTCTGTTGAGTAATATGCCCAGATGTGGAACCGCTGGGTCAGATGGTAATTCTATGTGTAACTTGTTGAGGAACTGCCAAACTGCTTTCTACAGTGGCTATGCCATTTTATATTCTCACCAGCAATACATGGATATTCTGATTTCCCCACATCTTTGCCAACACTTGTTATTTTCCATTTAAAAGTTTTTATTATAGCTATCCTAGTGGGTGAGAAGTGATATCTCATTTTTATTTGCATCTCCCTAATGACTACGTGGAGCATATTTTTATATGCGTATTGACCTTCGGACAATAATCTATTCAAATCCTTTGCAAATTTAAAAATTGGTTGTTGTTGTTGTTGTTGTTGAGTGTTGGAGGAAGCAATTGGGAGGATGCTGGTTTACCTGGGGGCTGGATCCAGGCTTCTCTGCTCCTCCGTTGTCCCTGGAACCTATACTCTGCCCATTGTTCTCACAGTGGGAGCTGTTTCCGAGGAGGATGCAGCCTTCAGAGAGGAAGGTGTTGTGGATGGTAGACCATGTGGATGGTATACATGACTGAACCCAGTTAAGGCCTCTCTTAAGATTTGGCAGGCAGGGGCGAAGATTACTTGAGCTTGCAGCCACTCAAGACAAGCCTTGTGAGTAAGTTCTCTTGTTTATTAACCCAACACCCATCAATCTGGAGTGGCCTGCCTCTATCTTCTGTCTCTCCTTGCCCTCCATGTACAGTGACCAGTTTGTGAGCCAACAATTGGTGAACTAACCAGGAAACTGAAGAAATGGGCTTTAGGAAAGAGGTGTCACAGGAGAAATCCCGAGTTGGCTGTCAACCTCTCTGTGGGGAGAGGTGGCATGTATGTCAGATGCTTACAGACCACCAGATGGGTATGGAGACACATGAAAACACTGGCTGGTTTGATGTGTTTGTAGGAGCCACTATGCAGAGGGCTCTGTGGCAGAGAAGAGAAACGAATGGCTGCATGGTGGGCTGGCTGCTACCGTGGGCAGCTTGGCAGGCCTCCGAAGCTTAAGTAGAGGCTGAATCATGAGTTAGAAGGTTGGAAGGAGAGCTGAGGTTGGAGGAGGTGTGGTGCCCACTGCTCTGCTGGCTTCGGGGCTGGCAGACATAGGTTGGGCACTATGACAGAGACAGCAGAAAGAGATGACCTCTACAACTTTAGTCCAAGCTCTGGAAGGGGGCAGAGACCCGGTGGTGAGTAGTGGGTTGACTGAGGTGTTGGCCATCTTCTGCTATATGGCTACAAATGAGATCTTAATCCCCTGTTAACAGGGAGGAGCCAGCCGTGGGATGGGTGAGGGCAGAAGTATGAGAGATGAGTGCTAGGAAGAGCAGGGGAACCCTACCCTGGCGCCTGGCCACCCTATGTTCCCAAGCCATCCCATCCTCCCTTTGCCCTTTAGTTTCTGCCTGCTTTTGCTTGCTGCTCAACATTTTATGGGACTTTATCATCACTTTCTGTGGGACCACTAGTCTGATAGGAGCTACTCCTCTTACCAGAAGCCAGAAATGCTTCTTGGTGAATCGAAAAATATTTTTTGGTCATGTTAAAAATTCCAGTTCATAAGTCTATAGCTTAATTTGGGACATCCATCCATCTAACCATCCAGCATGGCGTATGTCTCCTTATTTATTCTACCCAGATTTCTATCTTGGAGTTGCTAAGGAAAAAAATCCAACTGCATAAACGAAGACCTATTGGCTTTATTAAGGACTCATGACTTGGGCAGCACCTCATCTAACAAGTAGAGGGGAGCTCTGAGGCATTGTACAAAATGGATGGTTTTCATAGGAAGGAGGGTGGGGCTAGAAAGTTATTAGCAGAAGACCCTAGTCCCTAAACAGAATAGCAGAAGATTGGAGAAGAGGAGCTGAAACAGAGCCTGGTTGGAGACTGGGTGATGGCTTCCACCTGTTCCAAGGCAAACAGACCCTATAAGAGGGGTGCTCTCTCGCCCCCACCATGTTATCACTAAGGGTTGTCCTGCCCATTTGTGCTGTAGATAACAGCAGCTCTTATTCCGAGGAGTAAATATAGAATGCTCAACAAACCCTTGTGTTGTCTTCAAGTCTCCGGGGAAAGATCCTTCAAGACATTTCCGTATTTGACAGTCACTTCAAGGAGATCCTCCCCTGACCACTGCAAGAGATGTCCTGATATGGGAAAAAAAAAAAAAAAGAACAAAATCAAAGAGCTAGAGTTGCACTCCCTGTTTAGAGAAAGCTGTCTTAGCAATGTTATATATTTTTCTGAGTGTGCCCCATGTTACCCACGCATGGGAGGAAAGAGCGTTAAGAATCTTAAGTTAAGGTCACATCCAACAGAGAGATTAGTTATGCTTGGAGACTGGGGCGGTGGTGACTCCTCAGAGCTTAGTCACAGCCCTTTAGGATGCCGTTAACAGAGAAATAGGAGATCAAATGAAACAGGTATCCACAGTCCTGTTTTGAGATTTGGATAAAAAGCAAGAGAGTGAATTAGAATGTTCCTTGGAGAGAGCAGCAAAGGCAGGTGAGGTTTTTTCTAGATAAAGGGCCCTGATCTCTCCCTGCATGCAAGCAGAAGGGTGGGGCTGGTGGTGAAAGACAGGGATAGATTTAGTTTGTAATGATTAACATAAGGAGGGCACACTGCCTACCAGTTACTTGCCATTCTAAGTGGCTCAGCGATAAGAGAAAGACGATGGAAATAAATGCAGGAGGCACAGCCTGATCGGAAAAGTCGGCTGCTTTGGGCTTCTACGGACATGGCTGCAGGATTCCCCAATCTGGTGCCAGCGCTCATGGGGCTATTGCTGTTCCTGTGTGTTGGGCCCTGGGCTGAAGGCGGGAAGGTGCTGGTGGTGCCCATGGATGGCAGCCACTGGCTCAGCATGAAGGAGGCCCTGCAAGAGCTCCATGCCAGAGGCCACCAAATAGTGGTCGTCTCGCCAGATGTGAACTTGCATATCAAGAGAGAGGACTTTTTCACCCTGATGACCTATGCCATTTCGTACACCCAGGATGAATTTAATGACCTCTTACTGGCCCAGGCTTCTCTGGCTTTTGAAGAAGTACATTTTCTAAAGATGTTTTTTAAGTCGATAGAAATTTTGAAAACTGCTTCTTTCATTTTTCAAACGTCTTGCAAGGAGCTGATGTATAACAAGGACCTGATTGGGCACCTGAACGCCAGTTCCTTTGATGTGGTTTTAACAGATCCTGTTTACCCCTGTGGGGCAATCCTGGCCAAGTACCTGTCACTGCCTGCTGTGTTTTTTTTGCGTTCTATTCCATGTGACTTAGATTCTGAGAGCACGCAATGCCCAAACCCTTCCTCATATATTCCTAGGCTATTAACAATGAATTCCGACCACATGACGTTCCTGCAAAGGGTCAAGAACATGCTCTACCCTCTGTCCTTGAAGTACATTTGCCACATTATTTTCACTCCTTATGCAAGCCTCGCCTCTGAGCTTCTGCAGAGAGATGTGTCGGTGGTGGAGGTTTTCAGCTCTGCATCCGTGTGGCTGTTCAGAGGAGACTTTGTAATGGACTACCCCAGGCCAGTGATGCCCAACATGGTCTTCATCGGGGGCATAAACTGTGCCAACAGGAAGCCATTATCACAGGTCTGTATCGGTGCCTATGATGTTCCAAGTGGAACACATTTTTTTCCCCCTTAATTTACTTCCAGGTGCTTACTTATCTCCCAGTCTTTCTAAAGATGTCTATCTCTCTTTCTCCTGACAGTTCGGTGAGATGAATGTTGAAGTACAGGAAAAGTTTGCCATGGTCACTGAGAAAAATGGGAGGCAGGGGTGTGTGTTTGTGATAGGATTAGCAAACGCTGCTTTGAGTCAACCAAGACTGTCTTCCATGAAGGCACTGGCTTCATGGTTGCACAATTTTCTCCACCTGTGTAGGAGCAGGGGCGCCGAGTTGTGGGCTAATCGATCAGGAGGTTTTGCTTGCGGGGTTTTGCTCATACAGGAGAAGGACAAAGGAACTAGCACATTGCGTTTGTTGATGCGATCGTTTTTAGTGGCTCCGTCTTGAAAGGGACTAAAGTGTCATCCTAGGAGAATGGAACCACCGAAAGGAAGCAGAAGTGTCTGAGAGCTTGAGTAAATTAAGGGGGAAGTGAGACAATGTGTAAGGGAGAAGGTGGGGTCTCTGTGATCTGAGAAAGAAGTAACTGAGTTCAAGTTTTCAGAGACAGAGCTGTGCTGACAAGGTTTTTGAACAGGCGTTGATGTCTGGTATGTAACGTGGGACCAGCTGAGTTGGATGGTAGGTTGGTTGGATCGGTTGGGATGGTGAAGTCATCAAAGGCTGGTTGGAGGGACTAGGGAAGAGAGAAGACGAGGAGCCTATAAACCCAGTGAAGTGAAGGATGGTGATGAAAAGAATGGAGTCTGGAAGGGTAAAGGGTTGTTAGGGGGGCTGACCGCATCACCAAGACCATCCCTCCCCAGTGCAAGTTTCCATGGTAGGAATTACTGCTTTACTTTCAGAGGCATCTTCCATTAATCCTGGATATTTGGGTTTGATTGAAATAGGACTCATGGGAGCTATTTTATTTCTTAATTCACTGAGTTAGTCATCTTTCTCCCCCTATTTATGCCATATTCACTCACTTCCATGACTTTAGATCTTTTATAGTTTTTGCATTCTTACTTCTGCATCTCTTTTATTTACGTACAGGTTACTGCACAGGTCTCTAATGCCATTTCTCTTTTTGCTCAGACCATAATGGATCTATTCTACTTGGCTTTCTTTTTCCTTTAGGCAACGCATTTATTCACTTACAAAAAATATATTAGATTTATAAAAATTGAAAAATAGGAAGACATTTAAAAAGTAATTGTTGCTCTTTTCTTTTAGTTTTACTATGTAAATATAGTCTCTGGCATTAACTGTACCGTTTCAAATTCTCACTCCCATTTTTCTAGCTGAATGGGCAGGCGGGCTGGTGACCAAAGTATTCTGGCCTCACTATTGTCACAATAAGCATACAATAAATATGATCTATTATCATTATTTAAAAAGTGCCCAGAAAGACAAGGTATGTTATCTGGACATCTTTAGATATGTTTGTGCCAGTTTATTTGGTACATGAAAGATCATTTACTCTGAAATTCTCAAGTATTATACGTGATAGGCACACCATTATCACTTTTGTTCCACTAAATTCTTTTTTACTTTGCGATTTTTGTCTCTCTTACTTCGGTTTGCCCTAAGATGTGACTTAAGCAGCTGATGGAAATTTTCTCCAAATATGAGAGATCAAAGTCTAAGATTTGATTTAAGATTTATGATGGGTGGAGTTCTTTTATTGGTTTTCTCAAATAATTTTTGGAATTGCTTATTCTTTTTACTATTTTTGTTTTCTATTTCATTAATTCCAGCTTGCTTTTTATTAATGATTGTCATTCTTGTATCTTTTGGTTTACTTTATAGTTACGGTTATTTTTCTAATTTTCCTTTGGTAAGCATTAAGGTCCTTTCTGTTATAGTTTTCTTAATAAAGAAACATTGAAGTTTATAAAACATTCTCTGTGTCTCCTAGGTTTGGGCATAAATTGCTCATATGTTTTTTTCTTTTTGTTTTTGGTCATTTAATATTCTGGTTTGGATTTTCTCTTTAAGTCCATGGTTATCTTCAAAGTGTTTCTTTATTTCCATGTAGTTAAGGTTTATTTTAGCTATCTTTCTCTTAGTTTGTCTAATCATTTTTTATCTTAATCAGAGAATGTTTCTTGTGAAGTCACTACATTTAAAAAATGGAATAGGTTTTCTTTGCGGTCCAGTGCAGAATTGTCCAAAGGAAGTATAATGCAAGCCATGTGTGTAATTTAAACAATTTTAGTAGGCATGTTAAAAAAAGCATGAAGAGGGTTAAAACTAATTTTAATGTATTTTGTTCAATCAAATATATCTAAAACAGATCTAAAACATATACTCAGTATAAATTATTGAGATATTTCACATTCTTTTTAAAAAAAGTTTATATTGAGAGAGAGTGTGTGTACGTGCAAGAGAGCATGAGTGCATGAGCAGGGGAGGGAGAGCGAGAGAGGGAAAAAGAGAGTCCTAAGCAGGCTCTGTGCTGCCAGCATGGAGCCCAACGTGGGCCTCAATCTCACCAATGGTGAGATCATGACCTGAGCTGAAATCAAGAGTCAGATGCTTAACCAACTGGGCCACCCAAGTGCCCTAAGATATTTTACATTCTTCTGCTTTCATACTAAGTCTTCAAAATCTGGTATGTATTTTACACTTACAGCATGTTTCAGTTTGGACTGGCCAAATTTCAAATGCTCGGTACCCACACGTAGCTATTGGCTTCTATAATCGATGACTTATAACATTTGTAAATGCTCCATGATTACACCTAAAAATGTATGTTTAATTTTTTTCTATTTCAAAAACCCTGTCTCTATCTCTCTCTCAAAAATAAATAAGAGACATTAAAAATATATTTTTTAAATGAGATACATTGTGCACACGGTGATAGGATAGTTTTGTGTAGCTTCATGGAAATATTTTCCACATTTCCACAAATCATAGTTGTAGAACCAACTTGGGTACAGGCTACTAATTAGATTTGTGTTAGGTTTTGACTAATCACTACACTGGTTTACTGCTTAAGTGACCTCAATAGCATCCTAAGGATGCTGTTAACTAATCATGTAACCATGGAGAATTCACCAAAGTCGTTTGCCCGAGTCTTTGGAGGGAACACATTCCTGCTAACACTGACTTTAGTCCATGAAACTCACTGAAGATTCCGACCTCCAGATCTTTAAGAGAATAAGTGTGCATTGTTTTAAGCCATCAAATTTGTGGTTATTTGTTCCAATAACCTTTGGAACTGAATACATCACTTTGCCAGGTTAACCTGTTTTTTTTTTTTTTTTTTTTTTTTTTAAGGCTACACTTAATACTATATTTAAATGGAAAACTCTTCCTGGTCACTGGCATTTATGTAGGACTAAAAACCATCTTTAAGCCACAAGTATTAATATATTCACATCTTTTACTACCATGCATTGAAAAAGTTGAGGTAAAATGAGTTATCATGGTAATGTTAGCTTCAGAGCAAACTACCTGGCTCACATTTCAAACAAAATGGAAAGGCAAGGTTCAAGATGCTGTAGACATTTTGTCCTAGTACTACAAAGTAATCAAATCTGCCTTGGAATTATGTTTAATAAATAGCAAAGTGCATACAGGTATTTACAAGTTCTAAAGACAGAGGTCCTAACTCATATGGTCCCAACAATAACAACAAATAGGCATTTGGCATGAACTGTTTATAAATTCTTGAGTACAGTTGTTCCGAAAGTAGAGTTCACTTGCAATCTTCAAAAAAAAAAAAAAAGTCCTGCTACTCCTCACAATGCGCTTGAAATTGAACTTGGACTGGAATTACTTGGTGTCGATGGGGAGCAACTGCTCTTTGCCATTTATTATGAGGGACTTTAACTCTCCGTCTTCTTCCACCTCCACCCTTTCTTGGCCGTTCTCAACGATTCTCTTGGTGGTGATTTTTTTGCCATTGACGATTTCGGTGGAAGTAGACATGGACTTGAAGTTGCCGATCCCGCCACTACCACAAGACATGGAGAAGGAAGAAAGGTCTCCATTCCCCAGGCAACCAAAGGAACCAAATCCTGTATCAAAAGAAGAAAAACCACTCCCAAATGCTGGGAATTCACTGAAGGCGGAGAAGAAGGGCGCGGCCCCCCTGCTTCTGCTTCCCCGGGAGCCCCTCAGATCGCCCACGACATTCCCCAGTGGGTCTCCGAAGAAGTCGAACGAAAACGGGTCCCGGCCGCCGAAGAACTCCCTGAAGACCTCGGCCGGGTCGCGGAAGGTGAAGACATACTCGAAGGGGTCGTGGAAGGGCCCGCTGGCCCCACCACGACCATGGCCACCGCCGCAGTCCTCCACCCCGGCCTCGCCGTAGCGGTCATAGACGTCTCTCTTCTTGGCGTCTGACAGCACCTCGTAGGCCTGGGCCACCTCCTTGAATCGCCTCTCGGCCTCCTCCTTGTTCTCGGGGTTTTTGTCGGGGTGCCACTTGAGCGCCAGCCTGCGGTACGCCTTCTTGATGGCCTCGGACGAGGCCTCGCGGGGCACGCCCAGCACCTCGTAGTAGTCCACCATGGTGGACGGAGCAGCACGGCCCGCGGGCCACGGGCACGACACGGGGGCGAGAGCCCGAGTGCCCTGCGCCGCCCGGAAGGGGCGTCCTTGTGACATAGCCCGCACTTCATTGGTCGAGGCCGCATCCCAGAATGCAGTGCTGGGGGTGGGGCTCCGTGCGCTTCCGACGAGGCTCTCTGTGGCGTGGTTCGCTAGGGCACAGACGCCCCGCCTACTGCGCCCCGCCCACCATTTGGCCCCGCCCACCATCTGGCCCCGCCCACCCGCCTCCCAGCCTGCGCCTTGTGATCTCTAAATCCCTGCTGGAAAAAGAGGAAGCGAGGGGAGGGAAGTGGGGGCTCGGGCTCTGGCAGTGGGGCAGCGTGGTTTTGTTAAAACAGGCTTTCTGTCAGGCTCCCCTTTGCCCGATGGGGGTAGACTGATGGCCGTGCATTTCATCTGACCTTGTGCTGAAGGTCAGCCATCTCGTTTGTCCAGGACAGCCGTCCTTCGGTGATTTGGTCCCAGGACCTTTTTGCTTTAGTTTATAGTTGTATCTATCAATACTTAACACCATTAGAAATTAAGGCACTCAGAACAAACCTCAACAGTCAATTTAATAGCAAGAAAACCATGACACACTAAGATAAATCATATTTTTATAGGAAAATGACTTTTCCAAAACAATTACTGAAGAATGCCGTCATATTACATTTTTCACGTCTTTCTGGTTTAAGAGAACTGGATTCTTCTGCTTCTGTAGTCCAGTCTATTGATATATTACAGGTGATGTGGCCCGGGAGAAACTCCACTGTACGTAAAAGAGATCATGTGAGTGAAAAAGCCAAAGAGTATTATCAAAATAGCTTTGACTTTGCAAAACTCCCTAAAAAATTCTTGGGCATCCCCAGGGTGCTCTGGCCCACAGTTTGAGAACTCCTGGTCTAGTATATCAAAACTATTGAAGTTTGCTGGCCATTGGGGTGCCTGGGTGGCCCACTTGGTTAAGCATCTGACTTCAGCTAGGGTCATGATTTCGTGGTTGGTGAGATTGAGGCTGGCATGGGGCTCTGTGCTGACAGCTTGGAGCCTGGAGCCTGCTTCAGATTCTGTGTCTCCCTCTCTCTCTAACTCTGCCCTGCTTGCACTCTGTCTGTCTCTCTCTCTCAATAATAAATAATAAACATTAAAAAAAGATATACTGGCTGTGTTTATAGTGCTGGTCAACTTGGGTGCAGTAGTTGTTTTCACTAAAAATGCTGTACCTTGACTGATTTCCTTTTTGGCATTTTTGGACACCGGACTTCTATTTTCTCCTAATTCTCTGGCACTGTACTTTTTGCTTTGATAAATGGTAAGGCAACACCAATACAGGCCACTGAGTTCTAATAGGAAAATGATTAACCAGTGAACTCTGCAATATTTCATCATAAAGGGTAGTATAAGGCACACTCTGTCACTAGAACAAGCTGCTGACTTTATGTCACCTTGAGGGACTGAATACAATCCTATAATCTTGGAATTGACACTGTATAATCATGGAATAAACAGTATTAGGAAGCGGATTTGGAATAGAGTCTAGTGTGAACAAAGCAACATGGGAAAAGCGTGATTGGGGAAGGTCAAGTGCTCCAGAGTGACCAGAGGGAAAGGTGCAGAAGGGAGGGGTCTAGTGAAAGGGCTGGAGAGGAAGAATGAACTTGGACAGGTGAGCTCAAGGTCCATTCTAGTGAATTTTGAGAGCCAGCCCAAAGACTCTGAATTTTATTCTGGGTCCTAGGAGATTGTTGACCAAGGCTTCAGGGATGGTAGAGGGAGAGGGCAGTGCAAGAGGCTGCTGATGGAGGTCAGACAGTGAATCGAGCAGTTGCTTGCATGGATATGGGGCCGAGAGAAAAGGAGAAGGGAGGAAGGGAAGTCACATCTGTACAGAAACATTTACTGAGTGTTTACTGCTTGCAAAACCATGGGATGGTTCCTGAGTGATTCCCAAGCCAAAACCATGCTTGTAAGGGTAGAGTCATGGACCCAAACCATGCAGGTACAACAGAGGTCTCAACAAGTTCTGAGGCTTTGCGTGATGCAGGGAAAGTCATAAAATCATCATAGTGGTGACTATGTGAGTTTACAGCCCTTTTGCTCTGGGTAATCTACAGGCGAACTCTTACGACATTGAGAGTTCAGAAGAATTATTGCCCGTAATGTTTAAATTGGATTGTGAATTTCAGAATGGCAGATAGGGGTACACCCAAGGAGCCAAAACATTGCTACCGCTTTTCTATCTTCCCAGAATCTTAGTCTCGGAGAATGGAAAGTGCTTGGGATGGGGTGGGTGTGAGTGGGGAGTTTCAGAATAAAAAAAACCTCAATAGTCAGCTTAACAGCAAGAAAACCGTATATAAGCACGTACCAGACTGGACACCTGTGGAGGAAGGATGGTGGAAACGGAAATCTTGGGTACCTATTCTATGCACCAGAATGAGGGAGGCCCTGTGAATATGCCCCACAGGACATCAAAACTTTAAAGTTAGCATTTTCTCTGTGACCTTCTAACAGGTCCCTGAATATGGGTTGCCGGTGATGTCCATGGTCAAAATACTGGGGTCTGCGCTCTCACCTTGGGATTGCAGAGTAAAGCAGTGATCCCCAAAAGAAAGGGTGAGGTGATCAGTTCTGTCTGCACTTGGATTTGCCTTTTATTAGAGAGGGACATTTTAAAAAAATGTTTATTTTATTTTTGAGAGAGAGTGAGCAAGCTAGCGGGGGAGGGGTAAAGAGACAGAGAGAGAGACAGAGAGACAGAGGATCTGAAGTGGGCTCTGCAATGACAGCAGAGAGCCTGATGTGGAGCTCGAACTCGTGAATTGTGAGATCATGACCTGAGCTGAAGTCCAATGCTCACCTGACTGAGCAACCCAAGTGCCTCGGGTGGGGGTGGGGGGCATTTCTGTTTGCGACTACCATACTTGCTCCCTGACCCTTCACTTGATCTTTTGGGGCACCAGCTAGTGCTGGGTATTGCTGTGTGAGCAGATTCTATTTGGTCCCAAAGTCCTGCCCTCTGCCTCCTCTCCATTTATTTCAATTGAGTAATGACTATGGGAATCGCAGCTTTACTTCTGACTCCTAGTTGGCTCTAAAGTTCGAACCTGGTTGTAGGATCTGGGACCTGCTAGAAGCCGTGGGGAGCTGTGTGGGTTAAGAGCAAGGTCTCTACACTCTGACACCTAGGGCCTGGGTCTCAGCTCTGCCCCTTAGTAAATTCAGGCCTCTGCCAAATCACCTTGTCTCTCTGAGCCTCAGTGCCTTCCTCTGCAAAATGGGAATAATAGTGTCTGCTTCAAGGGATACTTCTAGGGGATTACATAAGATGTGTTGTGAAGTGCGAAGCACCACACTTGGCACCTAGTACACGGTCAGTAAATATACATTCTTACTGTTTTCATTCACCTTTCCCCTTTGCTCCAATGCGGTCATCAGAATTTCTCAGAGTGTCTGCTTTCCCTGGACCTCGGGGCTGTGTTGACATGACAGTTTAACTGACTCTTGCTCACTTACCAATTTTAGTTTCTTATTGACAGAGTGCTCTCTCACTGCCTCTCTGAGGGAACGCAGATCTGTCCTGGAAAGGTGTGCGTACGCACTCAGGAGGGTTTCCCTTCCTGCCATTCACTAGCCAGCGGTGTCATTTCCTTCCTGGTGTGCCTCTAATGCATCTGCGTACCTGTTTACAACGACAGTCTATCTCTTCCAAGGGAACTGGAGTTCTGGGGAGTCAGGAGGCTCACCTGGGGTGGTCTCTGCTGGTACCCCAGGCCTAGCGCTGTGCAGGGCTCAGTAGGTATTTTGCTGGATAAATGAATCAAAAAACGGAGGCAGTGGTTGGGCTGAGAGCCCTGAGTCACCTGTGCAGAATGTTCTTAAAGTCTTCCATGGGCCCAAAGTAGGCTTGCAGTGTCTGGTTCTTTCCTTTTATTGCATTTTTTAAAATGTTTATTTATTTTTGAGAGAGAGAAGGGGAAGAGGGACAGAGAGAGAGAGAGAGAGGGAGAATCCCAAGTGGGCCTCACACTGTCAGTGCAGAGCCTGACTGGGGGCTTGAACCCACAAACCGAGAGATCATGACCTGAACCAAAGTTAGACGCTCAACTGACGGAGCCACCTAACCCCGTCCCATATGTTCTTTCCTTTCTAGAAGCCATACTCTGCTTTCTATTTCATTCCTGAAAAGGATGTCTAATTTGTCACCACATAGACTCTTTTTTTTTTAAACCTCTCTGGTGACACTTTGGTCCATGGAAATACTCATCTAATCCATTCAAAGGTGCTGGAGCTGCATTCCCTTCTCTGGTTCTTCAAGAATGGGACCCGAGCGGTTGGTAGAGGATTTCAGCCAGGAAAACGGTTGTTGCCTAATGGGAAACTTAGTACACTTGTCCCCATCGGCACCAGGTAATGTAGGGAAGTGTTAAATCACTGTATTGTACACCTGAAATGAATATTACACTGTATGTTTGCTAACTGGAGTTAAAAGAAAAACTTAAAAGTAAATAAATAAAAAAAAATAAAGATACTTGGGGGGATAAAAGAGGCCTAGGAAACCTCCTCGCCCTCGTTAGTTTCAAAGGTAAACTTCCCGCGATCTTTAGCTGACGGACAGCGATAGTCACGTGATACAATCAAATATTAACTTGGAGTATAGATTGGTTCTTGCGACATATAAGTAGGGGAGGGCAGACTTTTGGCAGGTGAGAGGCTTGGTCGCAGATGCAGGAGAGCCATGACAGCGGGGGCCCGAGGTCCACGTCGGCTTGTGCTGGGGTTGCTACTGTGTGTGCTGAACCCCTCTGTGTCCCAGGGTGGGAAGCTGCTGTTGGTGCCCGTCGATGGCAGCCACTGGTTGAGCTTGCTCGGGGTCATCCAGCAGCTGCACCAGCGAGGACACGACATAGTGGTCGTAGCTCCCGAAGCCGCCATGTACATTAAAGAAGATGCGTTTTATACCTTGAAGAGCTACCCCGTGCCATTCCGCAAGGAGGATATGGAAGAGGCTTTTATCAGTCTCGGGCATGATGTTTTTGAAAAGAAACCTTTCCTGCAGTATGCAGTCCAGATATACAAGAAAATCAAGAAGGACTCTGCTCTGCTTTTTTCTGCCTGCTCCCACCTACTGCACAACCAGGAGCTGATGGCCTCCCTGGTAGAAAGCGGCTTCGATGCCGTGTTGACAGACCCTTTCCTTCCCTGCGGCCCCATCGTGGCCCTGTACCTGGAGCTGCCCGCCGTGTTCTTCTCAAACGCACTGCCATGCGGCCTAGATTTGCAAGGTACCCATTGCCCCAGCCCACCATCCTATGTGCCCAGGGTTCTGTCCCTTAACTCAGATCACATGACCTTCCTACAGCGGGTAAAGAACATGCTCATTCTCGCATCAGAGGGCTTTCTGTGCAACATGGTTTATTCCCCATATGCACCACTTGCCTCGGAAATCCTTCAGAAAGATGTGACGCTCCAGGACCTTATGGGCTCCTCATCAGTATGGCTTTTCAGAAGTGACTTTGTCAAGGATTACTCCAGGCCCATCATGCCCAACATGGTTTTTATTGGTGGGATCAACTGTGCCAGCCAAAAGCCTCTTTCCCAGGTGTGTATATGAGGGGGATGCTTTACAAGCCTATCTCCTTGCCAGGACTTTGGTTGGATGAACTTGCCCTGCTGTATGCTGAATGAGCACACTGAGGTAGCGTCACGTGCCCTCTTTCGTTAGCTTCTGCCTTACAAATCGCCCGGTGCTGGGTTGTAACCTATATCTGTTGTGGGCATCATCTTCTGGATTATTTCTTTGTCCGGGACACTTTAAGAGAGCGTATTTGGGCATTTCATTCTGTGTGCTCTAGCGTACAGTAATCCATGAGATGCGACAAAGGTTAATTGCCATGAGCACAGAGCAATTAGTTCAGGGATCCTTGCAGAGAACAAAAATCTGCAGTATGAACCTTGTTGCCCTTGATTGGGATAGACACCCACGGTTCAAGGCTGGGGGAATAATTCTGTGACATCTATGCCTCCTGGTGGCACAAGTTGCCTTTATGTTTCCGGTGTTGAAGCTCCAGTTACTCGATACTCTGATAGGAAGCTGGCTCCTGGAGTCCCTTGTCTTCTAATAAGTAAATATGAGACAGTCTGATCCCAGCATTCGGCAGAAGTGTCCCAAGCCTCATCCTTTGTGATGCTTAGAAGTTAATTTTTTCCCATACAGAATTTGAGGTATGCAAAACAGTGGCATTCACAATCCTCATCCCACATCTCAATGGAGGTGATAGAGAATAACAGGAGAGTCTCTATCAGATGGGAGGTTGGGAAGGACTCTCCAAGAAGGTGACATTTCAGTGGGCAATTTGTTCATTTATTTCACAAGTATTGGTTGAGGATCTGCTGGTAACTCAGTCACTTTGCAGGTTCTGAGTCTGGTCTCTACTAAAGGGACTATCATCACCCTCCGATGGCACTGAATCTTATTCCCAGGGTGACTCCACTGTGATTCACATTTTAAAAGATCATGTTAATATCATGGCAAGGAGAAACTTTAGGCAGCAGAAGGAACACTGGGTGAGAATTCCAGTGCTGTGTGGATGGCTCCACTCCATTGCCGTGTGACCTCATCTCTTCTATGAAGCTCTGACTCTTCCCCCGTAATGTGAAGAGAGATCTGGTGACTCCCACCAATAAAGTTCTGATGCCCCAAGGAAGTACATGTCTGATGAGGTGATCTGGTTAAGAAAGAAGGAGATGGTATTGAGTTTTTAGAAAGCAAAATGAGAAAACCTCACGTTAATAGAAAACCAGTCATAATTCTCTTTCATACATAGGAAAAGGTGAAATATTACCAAACCAGTGGTGGGCACATCATAGATCAAAGGAAAGAGAGGTAGTCAGCATGTCCAAGTGAAGAGTGAAATTAAAGAGAAATATTTTTGTCATCATTATATAGGATCCAAGTGAAAATGATTGTTTCACATTTACTTTGAAATTTAAAACTTTGGAGATGTGCAAGCATAATAGAAAACTCCCCATTCGAACTAGAAGTGTTTGTTTATCAACCTGCATAGATGTCCCCAGTTACACCAGCCTTCTTGCTACTCCTGGGACATTCCAAAATCTTTCCTGGTTCATGACCCTTGAACTTGATGTTCTGTCCTTCTGGCTGTCTTCTTATTTTTCAGATCAGCTGTGATAGTGCTTCCTCAGGGAGTCCTTCTCTCCAAGATAGCATCCTGTGCTATTTCCTTCATAGCACATTAAATACCATGATCATTTCATTTAGATGATTGTTTATTGGCCATCTCTTCCATATATGTTTGGGTGGGGACCACTTCTGCCCATCACTGCATCCTTAACACTTGGCAAAAGGTCGCCCATGATTGGCGTAAATATCAACGTCTAGGGCACGTAATAGGCACTTACCAAATGTTTGTTAAAGGAATGAACGAAAACCAACAAAGGGCTTGAACTGAGGACCAGTCACCAGACAGGCAGTGATCTCCACCAGTTCATTGGACTCCAACAATTACATACAAACATAGGTACATGTAGGTAAGCTCTTGTTCCTTATTTTACAAAAAAGATAACAATATATCCCCACTGCTCACCTATCAGTATGTCTTGAATGTCTATTTTCTATTTTTATATCTATTTTTTAAAAGTGTTCCATGTTTCACGGTATTTATGGGCCACATATTATTCTGTTTGCCACCTAGTCTAGTTTCTTAGGAAGAACACTGAAGTTTGCATTCCAGGGTCTTTCTCTTCTTGGTGCTACTTCAAATATTACCTTAACCAAAGATCAAGTATTTTGTAGTTTTCTTCATATTTTTACTTCCCCTCCCCCTTTTTTGGGGGCCACTGCAGTGAATGTGATAGTTTTTTCCATTTCTGTCTGTAGCTGATTATCTACTTGCTGTTCAGCTCAAAATAAAAATTCAGCCAACTCAAAATATTGATTCTGTCATTAAAGAAACCAGTAGGCTGTCTCTCATCAATAAAGAAACTGTGGTTTCTTCTGTTCTAAATTCCATGCTAATTATTGGTCTTACTAAAAAGTTTTTTCTTTTTTTTAAATTTTTTTTAAGGTTTTTATTTATTTCTAGGAGAGAGAGAGAGAGAGAGACAGCATGAGCAGGGGAGGGTCAGAGAGAGAGGGAGTCACAGACTGAAACAGGCTCCAGGCTCTGAGCTGGCAGTCAGCACAGAGCCCGACGCGGGGCCCGAACCCACGAACCGCGAGATCATGACCTAAGCGAAAGTCAGACGCTTAACCGACTAAGCCACCCAGGTGCCCCAACTAAAAAGTTTTTTCTAATGTTTATTTTTGAGAGAGACAGAGAGAGACACAGAGAGGGAGACAGAGTATGAGAGGTAGAGGGGCAGAGAGAGAGGGAGACACAGAATCTGAAGCAGGCTCTGGGCTCTGAGCTGTCAGCACAGAGCCTGATGTGGGGTTTGAAGCCACGAACCACGAGATCATGACCTGAGCTGAAGTCAGATGTTTAACTGACTGAACCACCCAGGCGCCCCTCAGATACTGGTCTTATTGAAATCGCTAGAATGTTTCAAAACAATTGAATAATGTTGGCAATTGCAAGGATTCTTATCCTTCTCCTGATTGTAATGAAGATTGATTTCCTTTTCATTCTTTTTTCCCCTTTTCTTTCTTTTCTTTTCCTTTTTTATTTTGAGAGAGAGTGAGAATGCAAGTGGGGTAAGGTCAGAAAGAGAGGGAGAGAGAGAATTCCAAGTAGGCTTTGCACCATTAGCATGGAGCCTGATGTGGGGCTCGAACCCATGAACTGTGAGATCATGACCTGAGCCGAAACCAAGAGTTGGACACTTAACCGACTGAGCCACTCATGTGCCCCTAAAGATTGATTTTCATTTCATCATTTTGTATTATGTTTGCCCTTGTTCTTTGGCAAATAATCTTTATTTATTTAAATGATTTTCTTCTTTAGGATGTTTAACAGGAGTGGCTGCAGAACGTTATCCACTGTCTTTCTCAATATCATAGTTTTGGCATCATTTATTGATGTATATATGTATTTTAAAGTTTATTTAGAGAGAGAGAGAGAGAGAAAGAGAGAAACAGAGAGGTGGCGAGGGGTAGAGAGAGAGAGAGAGGGAGAGAGAGAGAGAATCGCAGGCAGGCTCTGCACTGTCAACCCAGAGCCTGATGCAGGGCTCAGTGTCATGAACCATCATTATCTGAGCCGAAATCAAGAGTCAGACTCTTAACCAACTGAGCCACCCAGATGCCCCTCCATATATTTTCTTCCCCTGTGAATTTCTCTAAGTGGTGAGTTGTGTTGACTGAGTGTTAGTTGCTGCCTTGTTTGGTGGAATCAAACCTCAGTATGAGAATGACCTTGTAAACCGTACCTGACAGCAGTCCTCTTTGTCCTACTTAGCATTTTTAATTTGAAATTCTACTTTTTTGATATTAACATCACCATTTCTGACTATCTTGCTGGTATTTCCCTAGTGTCTTTTTGGTACCCCTTTGTCTTCAAGCTTTCTTTTTCTTCTTTTTAAATAACACGGCACTGATATTTTTCACCTGGTCAAGACAATTTTGCCAGTTTGCTCTTAATTTAAAAATTGGTGGATTTGATTCTTTAAATTTTTTTAATGTTTTATTTATTTCTGAGAGAGAGAGAGAGAGAGAGAGAGCGTGAGCAGGAGAGGGTCAGAGAGAAGGAGATACAGAATCAGAAGTAGGCTCCAGGCTCTGAGCTAGCCATCAGCACAGAGCCCGATGCAGGCATGAACCCACAAACCATGTGATCATGACCTGAGCCAAAGTTGGTCGCTTAATCAACTGAGATCCTGGTGGATTTGATTCAAACTTTCCCAGTTTACTTTATTTTTATTTTACACGGTCAATTTTCCTTTTCCTGATTTTTGCTGGTTTGTCAAGTTGCTGTTTATTTTCTTTTTTCCCTTTGTTTATTTATTTATTTTATTTTAGAGAGAGAGAGAGAGAGAGTCCAAGTAGGGGAAAGGGGCAGAGAGAAAGGGGAGCAAAGAGAGAGAACCCCACTGATATTCCTGGTCATTGCAGAGCCTGACGCAGGGCTCAATCTCACAACCCTGAGATCATGGCCTGAACTAGAATCAAGAGTTGGACACTCAACTGAATGAGCCCAGATGCCCCATATCTCTTTTGTTAATTAAAGAATGTTACTCTATGCTTCCATTCCTCTAGTGGAGATTGTCCTGGTCTCAAAGCTCTTGGTCAAAGTCCTGATCTTCAAGAATAAAGACACAATATTTAGTGGATAAGGAGAGTCCACAGGGAGAGCACACCTAGCATTGGGCATGTGTGGCCATCATGTCCATCATGCCCGATGGACAAAAGATAGTAGAACAGCACTGAGAGCAAAGGAATGAAGCTCAAGAATTCTAAGATGTCATTCCCTGCTCAGTGTGAGAGACCATCTTTGTGGAAAGCAGGGATTCAGAAATGATATCTACCCAGACATGTTGGGTCTGAGGAAACAGCCAACCAGAACGTAGGTGAGAAAAGAGACTTGGAGATGGTGGGAAGAAAGACTGGTGAGCAGGGAAGCTTGTGGTCTTTGTCGGTGGCTCCGAATGCGTAATGGTACGGCAACTGGTTTCCAACATGCCAAGTGTTTCCCAAGGGTTTTGAGAAACAGAAGACATTTGGGAAGAGAAATCTAATAAAGGCCTGGAGCTCAAAATACTAAACTCTCAGCAGAAGTTAGGACCTGTGTTAAAGACTTCAATGGGATGGGCAGGTGTTTTCACTTCAGAGGTGGCCTCATGCTTTTTGGAAGGGGATACGAGGTGGGGGAGTCAAGGGTTATCTTCAGTTAACACATTGCTTCACTCTTTGGCCACACCAGAGTCTGTGAAGTCAGGGTCAGGTGTAGGGGAAGTTTTGCCAGCAGGGTGTGGACCTCACCATTATTAAATCCCAGAGGAGCTTGCCGAGAGTAGGTGTTGCCTACGACAATACCATCTCTGCAGTTTGCCCTTCCGTGATCTGTAGATGAACTTCTGTGACATTTAAACTTTAGCCTTGCTATTTAACTCTGGGCATTTATGGACCTGTGAATTCGTTTTTTATGGTAATCACACCCGGCTGGGTGCTGAGTGGGTGTGGGGGAGTGTGCAAGGAGGTGAAACCAGACATGGTCCTTTGTAGACATGGTTAAAGGAAGAGTGGGTTTCATGCAGGAAGGAAGGTCCTAGGAAGTGAGATAAGCTGTTTACCTTCATTCAGGAGAAGAAGCTCAAAAGGTACTTGGAGAGGAGCCATCTTTTCCCAGGAAAGAAGGATGTGGTACATCCTGGGGAGGAAAGACTTTAGGAAAACCATTCTTACGAGGTCTTTGCCATAAACCAAAATTGCAGCGTGGCAGTGGGGAGGATGGATCCTGGCCTCCCCGACCTTTCAGAGAACCCCAATGGGGAAGGCCAGGACACAGCCACTAGGAGCCAGAAGCCTTGAAGAGAGCTGCTGGGGCGGGGAGAGGGGTGGAGGAACCAGAAAGGGAGCTCATCCCTGAAAGGGCTGGACAGTATTGGGTTTTTACTGGTCATGCTCTGAACCAAATTTGAAAAACGTCCCTTAAAATCACATGTGCTGAGCCCTGTCGGAAGTCTTCTACATGTCACTCCAGGGTGGCCAGTGTTCTGGTTTGTCATATCCCAGGAAACCCCTCAGTTCTGGGCAAACCCCACCACATCACACAGTCTCATTAATGTCCGTGGAATTCTTGGGAGACATAGAAAACCATTTGGGAGACTCGAGGGGAGTTAATTAGATCATTAATAACCTACAGTTGGGGGGAAATTGCCATACTCACACCTTGCTCTATTTCCTCTACATGGAATTGCCACTTTGTATGTGTGCGCATGCAGGTGTGTGCCTATGTACATGCATGTGTGTATGGCTGAGCATGTGTGTTTCCTGAAGACCAAAGTACTCTGGAGCTGGTTTTGAAGGTTGGGGTCCAATCAGGCTAAGCTGCGATTACTGCTGAGGGTTGAGTCTGGGGACTTCCTTACTCTCTTCCTGGGGACACAGCCACCACTCATGACTCAATGCAGCTAATACTGCTGTTCTTCTGATTGGATTAAGTTTTGGTTCTTACTTCTCAGCGCTTTTGTCTGACATCCGTCTCTAAAGTCTATTCCTTATTACTTCAGGAGTAGGTCCTTGATAGGTCATAATCTGTGATCTGCACTTACTAGTGGGGTCCCCACCATCACCATCTCTCACTCTTATACACATAGACACTTCTACGATCCCATCCCCCTGCTTCATCCAAGGGAACCATAGATCGTTCATCTTCTCGTAGTTGAAAGGTTCATTATCAACTAGAAAAACACTCATAGTTCGAATACACCAAAACTCACTCATTAAAACAATTGCTCCTTAATAAAGATGCTGATTTCATAGCAATAGGGCAGTCTTAGCAATGGGAAAGGCTGACTCAGATCCCTCTGTTTTCTAGTGATGTGGTCTTGGGTGCAAGGCCTAGGTGGAGGGCTTATCACACAGCCCCCTCTCTGTTCTCCATTCCTTATTCCTTGGGTCATCTGCCCAGAAGTTTCTTCAGGAACAAGCCCCGTTGCTTTGTCTTGAGCGTTGTCCTAACACAGCCATGGCTCCAATGCCCAATGCTGGTCTTGGTTGGAGGAGTAGAGCGGCCTTGCAGCTGCAATCTTCCTTGGGTGGCGGTCAAGGATGCACTGCTAGAAGGAATCAAGACATGGAATCATCTCTGAAACAGGACTCGGGGGTGGGTCATGTGCAGGCTGGGTTCAGACTCACTGCCTGTTTATCTTTCCCACCGGTGGCTTTGGTGCTCAGGGTCTTCTCACCAAAGCTCAGGCTTTGGTGCTCTTGACCCTCTCTGAACTCCACAGAGGGGGCTCAGAGCCTGGTGCACCCTTGGCAAGGTTTTCTGTCCCACATTCGTATCTTTCATATCCGGGGAGATTTCCTGCTTTCGAAAGTGCATTATGAAGCCAGCAAAAAAAGATTCAGATATCTTTCTGTATGTTCTTGCTAAGGCAGGATAGTTGACTTAAATTCTTCAGAAATGTCTTCTCCAGGAAAGATGGGAAAATGCCAGGTTGACTGGTTAAATTTCAGCACCCAGTTGACATGAATATGATCCCTAATCACCCCAGTGTATTGGCTGTGGGGAAGTAAGTGTTGTTAAAGGCTGTCTTGGCTATTTGAGGGTTTTCCTTAATTGTGAGCCTCATCCTTAACTCTATTTGCAGCTTTGTGCTTTGACTCCATTCATTCTCTCAACATAAAAGGGATATTCCAGAAGCCTTCAAAAGTAATACACATCTTTACTGTAGATTTTCTTAAAGGGGCTGTGCAGGAGTTTTAGAGTCTGCAAACAGCTTTCAGAAATTCTCTTTGGACAGCTTTCCTCTTTCCCAATGTCTCCCTTCACCAATCTGTTAAACGGTTCTCTTCCCTCTTGGTGATGCTCATTCACCTTTCCTCCCTCCTTCCATACTGCCTCCTGCCCTCTGCATCAGTCCCTTTCCTGAAAGCCTGCTTTCTCCCAAGACCCTCTCAGCCGCTTGAAGCTCCTGGGAAGTGGATCTGGTCTTATCTCTGATTGCTTTTCCTTTGGAAAATTAGCACATTACCTGGATTCTGCATCTCAAAAAAGAACCCAGGAGATAATCAGATAAGCAAGAAGCCTTCCTCCTGTGGAAGGGAGTAACAGGGGGTGGGGAGGGGGAAAGAAGGCTACAACATGCACTAATATTTTGTGTCTCTAACACACACAGATACACACACACACACACACACACACACCTTTAATCATGCTCTTAAGAAGAAGAGATCTGATTCACAGCTGAATTGTGCAGTTCCCAAAGAATGTGTGAAGAAAATTAACTGGAAATTTCTCTTCTGGTTCTAGGAATTTGAAGCCTATGTTAATGCTTCTGGAGAACATGGAATTGTGGTTTTCTCTTTGGGCTCCATGGTCTCGGAGATTCCCGAGAAGCAAGCTATGAAAATTGCTGATGCTTTGGGTAAAATACCTCAGACGGTAAGATTCCATACTATTCTGTACCTTCCGTATCTCTATCTTCACAAGAGTTGGAACCCCAACTTCTAGTATTGAAATTAAATCCTATCAGTTGGACTTTAGGCTTGGAGTTCCCTGCAACTTCCTGATTACTAATCCAAAGGTCTTTTTGCCATGTTACTCTCAACTATTCTGTTAGACTGTGGTCTGCTTTCATGTGGAGGTCTTATTTTCTCTAAGAAACTCAACAGTGTATTAAGGAGAATTTATTTTATTGGTAAAATAAACAGGACAGTGTTTCTTCATGTTACATAAGGAGTTTTTCTACAAAAAGTTGCTGGTCAGGACATGGGATTCGTTTCTTACATTGCTGTTCCTATAATTCGACATCCACTCATTTTATGAAGTAAAGTTCCCCCTGAAGTGCAGAAAAGTGCAAAAATCACAAATATACGGCTTGGTGGATTTGCACAAATTCACAGTATGTTACCAGTCCCCAGAAGCCTTCCCAGTTGCTATGCCTCCTCCCCCCGCTCACTGCCAAGGTTACGTTCATTCAGAGGGCTCCACATTCCAATGAACATGGCAGATATTTCTGAATCACTGTATTTTTAAACACTGTAGTTAAACTAAACTCTTGTCTCTGAAAGGTCCTGTGGCGGTACACTGGCACTCCACCATCAAATCTTGCGAAGAACACCATACTTGTCAAGTGGCTTCCCCAAAATGATCTGCTTGGTATGTGGGCAGGATCTGGTGTGTAGGTCAAACCCAAGTGCAATTAAGAAAGTGGCTTGTGCGTGGCTATTCTCAAGGGTTCTTTAGCTATTTTGGCCAAAGTGTTCCACATTGCTTTTTACCCCATGGGGCACTTCACCCCACATTTTCCTCTGTAGACTTCTGCAAGAGCCACACATGGGTGTCACTGAGTCCTTATCATGCCTGCAGAGCCTAGATGGTGTGGGACTGTGACACTCAGTGACTTGACCTCTGGCATCCTTCCCTGTTTTGTTTCTCAGGTCACCCAAAGACTCGGGCCTTCATCACACATTCTGGCTCCCATGGCATATACGAGGGAATATGCAATGGCGTTCCAATGGTGATGCTACCCTTATTTGGTGATCAGATGGACAATGCAAAGCGCATGGAGACCCGGGGGGCTGGATTGACCTTGAACGTCCTGGACATGACTTCTGAAGATTTAGCAAATGCCCTAAAAACTGTCATCAATGACAAAAGGTAAGAGAAAAGGTACAGAGGAATACTACCTGTATCCTGGCCATCTCATTACCATAAATATCCAAATGTGAAAACAAACACATAAAAACCTAATTAATAAGTAAGATGATCTGGGGGTTATTATTATGCATTTTATGAAAGGATGCTTTTATTCCTAGAGAACTTATCATAGAAATGATTTTAAAGAGTTAAAAAAAATTTTTTTAAGCTTATTTATTTATTTTGAGAGAGATAGGGAGAGAAGCAGAAAAAGAGAGGAAGGGAAGGAGAGCATGAGTTGGGGAGGGGCAGAGAGAGAATCCCAAGCAGTGCAGAGCCCAACACGGGGCTTGATCTCACAAACCTAGAGATTATGACCTGAGCCAAGATCAAGATCAAGAATCAGATGTTTAACTGAGCCACCCAGGTGCCTCCAAAATGATTTTAAATATTATTTCTCTTGGTAGGGTTAAAACTCCAATTTATTAAAAAATATTGTCACCCAGTAGACATCTACTCTTTAAGAAGAGAGACATATTCCCTAATGAGCAAAGTATCCATATGACAAAAACTAAGAGCCTAGAAGTATAGTTCTCCCTAACACTGAAACCCGTGAGAAATTTTATGGGGATTTATAAATGGGGAGGAGTGTCGTGTGATATCACAAAGGCTAATGATAAAAGCAAAGATGAGTTTATTCAAATGTGGCTCTGAAACAATTTAAGAGGCAAAAGCCTTCAGATCAAATGATCTCTTCATGGAATTTATTGTATTGCTGTCAAGTTCACTAGTAATAGGTTGGTCAAAGCCTTGTGGGAAGAAGCGATGGGCAGGATGGACTTCATCCACCAGTTAACGCATGTGTGTGTGCATGTGTGGGTGGGTGTGCATGTGTGTGTCTCTGTGTGTGGAGTCCTTCACCCACAGTTGCTTTGTCTTGAGAAAGACATCAGTTAAAAGGACAGATGTGAAAACACTGGAGTGTATTCAGATGGGAGGAGACATTGCCCAGGGTGACACAGTGAGCCTGGGCAAGGAAAAATGGAGGGAGACATGGGGTGCCCACATGCATGGTGCCAGTGGATGGGAAAGAAAAACCCACACAACCCCAGTGTAAACGCCCAGAGTGCCTGGTGGGTGCCATCCCTCCGTTCTGAATGGCACCTTCCGGCCGCCCTGCTTGTTGGGGTCAGGATGTGCTGCTCACACATCAGTGCGTGGAACCCCGACTTCTCTCCATGTGCGGACAAAACCCATTCCTGAGGTTCACGTTAGTAATGCAATTAAAAAAATTTTTTTCAGGGGCGCCTGGGTGGCTTAGTCGGTTAAGCGTCCGACTTTCGCTTGGGTCATGATCTCGCAGTTCGTGGGTTCGAGCCCCGCATCGGGCTCTGTGCTGACTGCCAGCTCAGAGCCTGGAGCCTGTTTCAGTCTGTGACTCCCTCTCTCTCTGACCCTCCCCTGCTCATGCTGTCTCTATCTCTCTCCTAGAAATAAATAAAACATTAAAAAAAAAATTTAAAAAAAAATTTTTTTTCAATGTTTTTTATTTATTTCTGAGAGAGAGAGAGAAAGAGGCAGCATGAGCAGGGAAGGGTCAGAGAGAGAGGGAGAGAATTCGAAGACAGGCTTCAGGCTCCGAGCTAGCTGTCAGCACAGAGCCCAATGCAGGGCTTGAACCCACGAACCGTGAGATCATGACCTGAGCTGAAGTCGGACGCTCAACTGACTGAGCCACCCAGGCGCCCCTAGTAATGCAATTTTGATCTTTTGTTCTGTGATACAGACAACTATCTGGAACCTAAAAATGACTTGGTAGAATTTCTCATATTTTTAAAAAACGTTCATCAATCAGCTTGAGAGTCTAGTAACTGCATTTGTCTGTTCACGAGTCATCACTACCTAACTGTGAATCACCCTGTTCCTGGAACTCTAAGCAGGGAGATAAAGACATCAGATGATGCAGCCAGGCCATAACAGGTGCTCAATAAATACTGAATGAATGAATGAAAGTTATAGAATATCTATCTTGTTTAAGAGAAGATTTATATAAAAGAAGATGTTTAACAGGACTTATGGCCAAATATTGATATCACAGTACAATAATGTATAGACATAAAATGATAGACCTGTCTCAAGACGGTAATTATCATAATTACTCCTGAATAAAAATATCTTACTTTCTTCTTTTTCTTCTCCCTCCACCTTCTCTTTCTTCTTGCGGTGCATCCACACTGAGGGCTGTAGCATCTAACCCAGTTTGGACGTGGTTGTTCCAATTCAGCTATCAACGCTGTCCAAAATAGACAAAAATCTGTTTTGCTTCCCAGGCTGCATGGACACAGCCTCATGCTAAAGTTAGCACTTGGGCACTTGGTGTGATGTTTTACCAATGGACAGTATGCCACCATCTTGCGGACGGCACTTATAAATGGCTTTTACTTTGAGTAGATGTGATTGTTTAAAACTGTGAGAGGGAAACTGCTCATAATTTCTGAAATGACCTTTTCCTTTATTTCTTTCTCTTATTAATACAAAACGTCGTCTAATTTCCTACAAACATATCACAGAAAAGAAGAAAATAGGAAGCAAGGTTCAAATAATTTAATATTATAACTTTGGCTTCCTGTTTTCTTTCTACTTTTTTTTTTTTTAAATTTCAGAGATAAAGACCAGTGTGTGTGTGTGTGTGTGTGTGTGTGTGTGTGTTCTTTCTGTCTATAGTGGAAACACATTGCCTCTACCAAGTTTGTAAAATCTGGTAGCCTTCCCAAGCACAGCAAGCCTAAGGGGAGGAGGGGTCATGATGGTCGGTGTTCCAGCACTCATGTAACTGCCTTTGTGTTTAGCTACAAGCAGAACATCATGCGCCTGTCCAGCCTGCACAAGGACCGCCCCGTCGAGCCCCTGGACCTGGCTGTGTTCTGGGTAGAGTTCGTCATGAGACACAAGGGGGCTCCGCACCTGCGCCCTGCAGCCCACGATCTCACCTGGTACCAGTACCATTCTTTGGATGTGATCGGCTTCCTCCTGGCCATTGTGCTGGGCGTAGTCTTCATCACTTATAAAGGCTGTGCCTTCGGCTGCCGGAAATGCTTTGGGAAAAAGGGACGAGTTAAGAAATCTCACAAGTCCAAGACACACTGAGAAGTGGGTGGGAAATGAGGTGACCCAAAGTTGCAACTGGAGACAATGTTAAATTTATGTTATGCTTATTAAAGAAATACTTAGCCCTAAGGGAGATACCCTCCGTGGGTTGTTGTTGTTGTTGTTGTTGTTGTTTTTAAATAGGAACAATCTAGGGGTGCCTACGTGGTTCAGTCAGCTAAGCTTATGACTCTTGATTTTGGCTCAGGTCACGATCTCATGGTTGTGAGATCAAGCTCCGAGTTGGGCTCTGCACTGAGCGTGGATCCTGCTTGGGATTCTCTCTCTCCCCCTCTCTGCCCCTCCCCTCCCCCATCAAAAATTAATAGATGAACTTTAAAAGCAATCTAAGCAGCAAGTCACACCTGTAGGTAGAGATACCTGAATATGTTTTCTGCCCCCTTTAGGATCTTTAATTTGGACTATATTCGTCCCTTTTCTTTTTTTTTTTTTTTTTTCTCGATCTCTTTCTCTCTTTATTTTATTTTATTTTTTTTTTTACAAATAGTTTATTGTCAAATTAGTTTCTACATAACACTCAGTGCTNATCCATCAGTCCTCAGTTTTTGTCAGCATTCAAGAGTCTCTCATGGTTTGCCTCTCTCCCTTTCCCCCACCATTTCCGCCCTTCTTCTCCCCCTTGTTCCTCCGTCAAGTTCCTCCTAATCCTCCTATATGTGCAAACATATGGTATTTGTCCTTCTCTGCCTGACTTATTTCGCTCAGCACCTTTTCAAATGACTTGCCAAGAGGGTTGGACAGGTCCCTCCTGAGCTTTGCATTACTTTTCTTACTCAGCAATGAGGCTTCTTTGGGGTCATAGGTTCCAGAGGTGGTCTTACCCCCACTACCTCAAAGGACGGTTCTAACATCATCGTCTGGCTTCTGTAGACCGTTGTGATCAATTCTGTCCCCGGTAATGACAGGTCCTAACTTATATTCATGCCTCACAGATGTCACTTTGTGTATTCAAAGAAGGAAACATTTATTCCCTTAGGGCATGGTGCCTTATACTTGAAATAAATCGATGACATAGGGGTGCCTGGATGGATCAGTCGATTAAGAATCCCACTCTTGATTTTGGCTCAGATCGTGATCTTGCAGTTTGTGAGATCAGGCCCTGCGTCCAGCTCTGCACTGATAACATGGAACCTACTTGGGATTCTCTCTCTCTCTCTCTCTCTCTCTCTCGGCCTCTCTCTCTCTCTCTCAAAATAAATAAAAATAAACTTTAAATAAATACATAAATGGCATAGGATCTTTTGAGGACAGTGTCTGATTTCTGACTTTAGGGAAAAGAATGATGTATAAAGTTGATGAGTGGCGTGTTCAAGAGGATCATCATGGCTTTTGCCAAATGGATCTGAATTTGAGAGAACCCCAAAGTATAGTGTCTCACAAATGTATTTTCTCTGACGTTTTCCACAACTAAAAACATTAATAAATTCGTACAAATTCTTTTTCTTAGGCGTTCTTCTCTTCATTGTTGTTGCATTTATTTGCTGTTCATACATGTGCTAATTACACAAATAATGTGTGAGTATGACAGAACTTTTGGTCGTCCAATTGGGAAGGTGGAGGGAGGGATTGCACAGGGAAAACATGGCCACCAGGAGCCACGACTGACCCCAAGGGTCAGGGGAGAGGGAGCTTAGTGAGCTGAGGACAGGCTCCCAGATGTGTCCACTACATATTTTTGTTGTGTCCGTTTCCCCCACATTCTGCCTTGGTGTTTTCATGCATTTAAGCTCACAGGTTTCTACAAATACTTATTTTCAAGTTAGTTCCTGTAGAAGCAGAGGTGGGGAGCCCGGAAGAGTGACAGCACATGAGAGTATCTGATTTCATGAATGGATTGTACCGGAGTCAAATATTAATGCCCTAATCTGAAAAAAAAAAAGCCACAAAAAGCATTTTGATTTTGGAAAAACAAGTAGAGCCCTCTTGTTTGTTCTTGATCTTGTCACCTAGTGTCCTCTGGACAGTATGTTCAGGGGCCTCTCACTTTTTGCCATGGCTTCTGTACTCATTACGTGTGCAACAAAACAACGGCCCCTTCCTGCACCCCTCCTGATAGGCTGGCCCTTCACAATGTGGCTTTGTAGCTCTTCCCATTGAGAGGAGGACCTATTTCTCTAGCCCTCAAGTCCTGGCTGGACTGTGACCTGCTTTGGTAACATGTGACAGAGTGGGTGGGTGCCATTTCCGGGTCTAGGCCTCAGGAAGACTTCCTGTTCCCGAAGCCCACCTACTTACTGTAAAAACAGCCTGGGTGAGTCCTACTGTGTGACCGACATGTGTCCCAATCACGCTAGCCACTTCAGCCCATAGCTAGCCAACTGCCAGGTGCCTGTGGGAGGCTGTCCTAGACCAGCCAGTTCTCATCCAGCCCCCCAGCAGACTGCAGATGTATGAGCAACTCCATGGTAGAGATGGCCCGGAGCAACAGAACTACCCAGCTGACCCACAGATTTACGAACAGCACTAAATGGCCGTTTTCCATCATTAAGCTTTGAGATGGTTTGTTACACAGCAATGGCCAACTGATACATTCAGTGCTGGCCCTAAATCCATGATCTTTCATGTGTTGGGTCTTTAGACTGTCAGAGGACACAGGTGTGTCCTACCCACTTCTATATTTACCACTACACAGAGAGCCATACTTAGCTGCACACAGCAGTCAGGCAGGTAGGTTCTGCTGAATGCAATGGGGACCATGTCATTTGAGTGATCTTTGAAGGAGAAGAGCAGGCCTAGAGGGGAGTGGGAAGAGGTAGGGCAGAGGTAGCCATGAAAGAGGGGCATGCGATAACTGTCTTCTTATGTCTCTTCCATATTGGTCAGTATGTCTCCAAAGGACAGAGTGAGGAATAATGGAGGAATTTTGTGGGGAAGACGTGTTTGGCACCATGCCCGGGAAGCTCATTTTTCAACCATCTAGCTTCGATGAAGTAGAAGTGGGCTGCAAAGTGTAAGGAGTGCCCTGGTAACAGAGGTGTCCATGCAGAGACTGAGGAGCCGGCCTCTTGGCAGCGTGGGCAAACTGAGTGGGAATTTTCACTACGCAGTCTTGGACCTATGTGGCCCTGAGTCTTTTTCTGTTGCCCTGGAATGCATAGACAGCTTTCCAAAGGCCAGTATTTCATTGCTCAAACTCTTGATCTGGCCTGTTTCACAGCTGCAACTGACAAGAAACTCTTGGGTCCCATTTTTGGTTCAGGAAACAGGGTGCCTGCCCTCTTACCTGCCAGGGGGAGCCCCCTGCTCCATCCTGGAAGCCGTCCAGTCCTTGGGGAGGAAGAGTCCTCTTCCCAGGACCCCTCTGTCACCCATCCCACCCCAGCTGCCCTGACCACATCTTCCCACCCTGAGGTCCTGTGACCACATGTAGGAAGAGTCAACCAGAAGACATGACTGCCAGCTGACCTAGAAGCTGGACCTGGGAAATCGGAGGCTCCTCATCTCTTCTTCTGTCCTTGGAAAGTGGGTTCTGCTTGCCTTTCCCGCTCCCAGAGGATGACAAGGAGATAGCTTTGGGATGCTGAGATGGCACTGAGGCCATCTTGATGGTACACATGGCAGAACCCAATTAAGGCCTCTGTGTAAACTTTTAAGATGTGGTTGGCAGGTGCCGGGATCCACTTGTCTGGATGCTGCCCAAGATGAACCTCCCATGTAAGTTCTCTTGCTTATTAAAAGTGCCACCTACCAACACAGACTGGCTTCTTCAGTCTCTCCCTGCCTCTGAGTACAGAGCCCAGTTTCAGATTGCGCCCCGGAGACTTCTGTGGAGCTTGCAGACTAACAGTGCCACCCCAGGGAACTTGGTAGTGAATATCTCCCACTCGCCATATGCCCCTTTCCCAAACAGGCCACCGTACTTCACCACACACGTGGATAACAGAAATGTCTCATGACAACACAATGTGGGGTTTTAACCACAGGGCCCTCAGTCGGTAAAGACTCAGGAAGGCAGTTAGATCTCAGAGTTCCAAGGGTCTGCGACCTAACGGTGATGATTCTAGTGAAACCCTCCTGCCCTGCCAGGAGACCTATTCCTCATCCACATTACGACGGAGAAGCCAACTAACTGTCCCACTTCCTCGACGACCCCCTCGTCTGCATTACCTTTGATGCGTCTTAGGCGCCCCTTCCTTGTGGTGTATTTTTGTCCCATCCAGGAGAGGACTCCGAGAAAAGGTCAGTAGTTAGGTCCCAGAGTAGCTCTTTAGAGGATTCCCAGGAGGGAAAGAGCTCAGGATGGTGAAGAGTCCTGGAGTGGAGTTTCAGGCGTGGGGAGCTCTGGTCAGGGGGACAGCGGATCTGGGAGCGTTCGGTCCTCCATCTTGACGTCGGTGTTTTCTGTCAACCCTTAAGAAGCTGCTGATGTTGGGAGAGCTCCTCGAGAGGAGCGATGAGGACGGTGGGGGTGGATTTCTCATTAATCGTCTGTGTCCGTTGTCTAGAGAAGAGAGGAAGGGCCCTTCTTAACCGAGTTGGCTGCTGCTGTGTGATAAATGACATCAACTCAGTGGCTGAAAACACCACCCGTCTATCATGGCACACAGTTTCCATGGGTCAGGAGTCGGGGGGTCTCACAGGCTGCATTCAAGGTCTTGGCAGGGCCACATCCTGTTTAGATCTCTTCCAGGCTTATGGTTGGAGGACTGACGTCCTCTGCTTCTTGCCACGGGGTCCCTTCCACAGGCAGTTTATGTGACGCCGTTAACTCCTCAGCGTGAGACTCCCTCTCCAGTCCGCTAGGACACAGAGGCTCCTATGGGAGCATGTGACCAAGGGAATCACTTCCTGTCACCTAGGCCTTGGTCTACTGGTTAGAACATGGGTCTCACCAAGTCCCGGTTCTACGCACACTCGAGGGGAGAGGAGTATGCAGGGTGGGACTCACCGGGGGTCGCCTCGGGGTGTGTCGACACACCAGTGATTTTACAGATCTTGTCTCAGAAGAGCCTGAGGAGGAGATGACGGAAGCTGAGGCAGGCTCCAACGAGGGCCCGTCAGAGGAAACCGAGGACCTAGAACCCCTGGAACCAGACGACCGAGGTGAGAAAGTCAGCCCCGCCCCTGCATTCCTATCCCGTCCTGGCCACCGACTCCTTGAGGGCGGGTCCCAGCCCTCGTCTGTTTCTCTGTCTGCACGCAGACGGGGAGGCCCTGGGCAGTCACGGCACCGGCATGGCTGCCCCAGCTGCGGTGGCGTCGGGAAGGCCTGGGCGCGGGGGCACCCCCTGTGACGGCCACCTCAGCATCACCCCCGGGCCCCTTGTCTCAGGTACTTTCCAACAAGTCACAAACCTCCTGGACATCATGGACGGCGGGTCAGCGAAGACGGACACTGCCGGAGGGACAGGCCCTGACATGCGGAAGACGCTGGCCTCGGTGATAATCACGGAGAAGGCCACCGTGGAGCCCTCGGTGGTGATGAACGCTCTCATCCGTTGCCTGCAGGTGCCCGAGGTAGGGCCCGCTCGCCCTCAGCCACCCCTCGGGCAGCACACTGACCATCGCAGTCCTGGGGCCGGGCGCCGGGGCGCAGACCCGGGCAGGGCTGTGAGGCTCTGACTCAGAGGACCCACAGGAGCCCGGGGCTTTCGTAATTTGTAAAACGCTGCCTTATTCTGACACAGTGGGTGCGGGAGCCCTTGTGCTCATGAAGTAGTTACAAGGATGTGGAAGAAGTGAAGCAAGTAGACCCGGGGCAGACAAGGCACCGCCCAGCCGGGTGCAGCGATGCTGGGCCCGCCTAGGTCAGGGGTGAGGTGGGGAGGGGGGCGTAGGGGGGAGTGATGGGCTGTGAGATTGGGAAGTCACGGTGGGCAAGGCAGGGCAAAGTTTGGAGCAGAGCCTCAGGATCTTGGTAGGAATTTTTTGGGGAAAGCTTGATTTGGTAGAAAGAGGTGCTGCGCCGTGAGGAAGGTGTGCGGCTGTCGGGGAGCCCAGATAGGCAAAGGCTTTGTAACGGACTTCTAAAATGTGGGTTCTGCTATTCATGCCCATGCCAGCACTTGGGAGGTGGGGGCGGGGGTGGGGACAGGCCATATGGTGCAGGGCCACAGGAGCAAGTACCAGGGCTGGTCAGGAGACAGAGGAGGTGAGGAGGAATGTGGGTAAGAGTCTCTATTGTAGTCTCTGGGGGGGAGGGTGGCGGGGAGATGGTGCAGGGCACGGTGACGGTGACGAGGCTTGGGATGGGCTGGTGTGAACAATGTCAATGAGCTCTGGGTATCGGGGCTGTCCCTGATTGTATGGCACGTGGCCCTGGGGTCATCAGGGGCAGGGGGGTAGTGGCCCCCAGTGTGAGAGCCTGATACTGGAGGTGGTTGGTGCAGGCTCTGGACTGGTTGGTTTGCATTTGAAAAGGATGCTCACCGGGGAGCTGTTTGCTTGCTCTCCTTAGTGACTGGCTAAGCCTGGGGGGAGCCGGGGAGTTTCTCCAAGGTCATCGAGGCCTCAAGATGTCAGAAGATATAAAACATTTAAGAAAATGATTAATAATACCCAGGCCATAATTGATGGCGTTTGGGGGTGATCAGGGGTTCGGAGCCAATGGCCAAGAAAGAATTCTTAAAGACGTCTTGGTGCAGAAAGGTGATTTTATTAAGGCACAGGGACAGGACCTGTGGGCAGAAAGAGCTGCACTGGAGTTGGGATGGGTGACTCATTCTATACCCTCAGGTTGGGTAAGTCTCTAAGGAATTTTGGAAGCAAGGTTTCCAGGACCTTGAACGGCTCACTGCTGTTAGGAAAACACCACTTATTACCGTTCAGTAAAACCTCAGTCATGAGACCCTTCCGATGTATATCAGGGACCATACACTTGGAGTATGATTGCCCGCATATATCTTGGGGGAATTGACATAAAGGAATTTTTATACATTAAAGTAGACTCCCAGGATCCTGGGGGGGGTGGTCAGGATACTGTTAAGCCAAGATTCCCTTTTGCTCCCAGCAAAGTGTCATCATCATCGAGGCAGCTGCGCTCCTAGGGGGAGGTCACTCTGCCCGTCTCAAAGACTTGTCGGTGGGCTGCAGGCAGTAAGGGAATCTAATTTTCATTTGCCTCTGTTTCCCACCTCACCATGGCATTAAGCCCCCTTCTATCTTGATGAGGGTGATATTAGGGCTCCAGGAAACAGAGCCTATAGGTTTCTGGAGATTAGGCTGTGGATAAGATTGCCTTTTTCTTGCAGCTTAGTAAGTTCTCTGTAAACTGAATGACGTCCTTCATGACCACGATCTCTGTCAGTCAACCATCTGCTTCCTTCCCTTTCCCCTGTTTCTGGGCAGCCAGGAGTGTCCGAGGAATATCACACACGTCCCACCTGGCAGGCGTCGGGGTGCTGGCAGCCTGTACTTCGCCCTCAGCCTGCCCCCACGCTCCCTCATCAATAATCCATGGCAATAAATAGACAATAAACACGCAGGCACGTGGCAATAAATAGAAAATAAACACGTAGGCATATTTGAAAAATTAACCTGTTTCGAAGATTTCCATTCTTCATTAAATGGTGAAGGAACCAGCAGCACGTCAGAATCTGTTAAAATGAGAATTTTCCTTATAGAGATTGATGTTCTTTACCAGACAAAAGTCATTTACATTGCCAGGAACACAATGGTTTTGTTTTTTTTTTTAAATGTTTTATTTTTATTTATTTCTAGGAGAGAGAGAGAGACGGCGTGAGCAGGGGAGGGTCAAAGAGAGAGGGAGTCACAGACTGAAACAGGCTCCAGGCTCTGAGCTGGCAGTCAGCACAGAGCCCGACGCGGGGCCCGAACCCATGAACCGCGGGATCATGACCTAAGCGAAAGTTGGACGCTTAACCGACTAAGCCACCCAGGTGCCCCAGGAACACAATGGGTTTTGTTGCTATGGAGGAAACATTTGCATTCATATCAGTTTCCTATGACTGAGTCTCAATCTCCAGGGAGCCTTAAGATAGCCTAGGAATCAAGGATACACCCTGCTTGAGGCCCCCTAATCCTTAAGACAGCGCCAAGACCCCCTCTGGTGCCTGTTTTATGCCAGTTTCCAAGCCTTTGACAATTTTGCCTCGTGACCATAAATATTCTCCAAAGGTGCCTCTTGATCACAGAGCGGGCTGGTCTTATTAATACTTACCTGGCTGTGTACATAGGTACTGCAAGAGGGTTAATTAAGTCTACAGGTGCCATTGAGTTCTCTTTGAAAATCTAGAGCATGTATTCCCCGTGGGGGTGATACTCCCCCGCCCTGGGTAAAATGGACTCGCTGAAGAAAACCTTACCTTTTCTGTATAGAGTACAGAGATGCATATAGCGCATAAACAGATACATCAAATACTCAGGCAATTAAGGCCTCATGGGTAGGAGGTAGAATTAGGAAAAAATGTCTAAGGAGGCTCTTTAGGAAGCACCTAAAAAAAAAAAAAGATTGAGGGCCACTGGTCCAGGGCCAGGCGGTTCTGAGCAGCCAAGTCCCCACAGGTTCCTTTCTTCCAGGGGTTTTCATGAGGAACCCCTTATTGGAGGCTAGAAGCCTCGGTTATTTGCTAGGTCAAGACCGGGCAAACAAGGCCATGACTCTCCGGAGCAGATTTCACTAGGAGAACATATAAATTTGAGTGAGTTCCTTTCTTCCCGAGGTGCCTTTTCCGAGGCCTCTGGGATTTGGGGAGGCGGCCGCCCTCCCACTGAGAGGAGGCCCCTTACCAAGGGCTTTGCAGGCAGTGGCCCCCACAC